GCCACAAGCCACCAAAAATAAGCCAAGAGAAAACAATCTTCTTCTTCTTCTTTCTTTTTCCTTCTGCCGCAAGGAACTACACCTTGCACTTCTCTTCCTCTATCCCGAGAAAACCTAAAGAAGAACTAAAAAATGTGACTTCTAAAAACTTAACGAGAGCTCTTCTGTTTGCAACTTAAAGAAGAAGGGAGGTGGCGTTGTTTCACGATCCTAGAGGCGGGAGCAGCAGTTATCACGAAACAGTGAAGGATCGCCACTTTTCACGATATAATAGAGAGGCGGGAGCAGAGTTGTTCGCGGGAGTGTGGATTGCAATGTTTCACGATCGAGGGAGTGCAAGCGAGAGTGGGAAGCATAGGTAAAAAATCATATTGGGCTCCAACACTAACATAAGGGTAGAGGATGAATCATTGTATCATAAATAGGCATCAAACTTATAAGCAAAATGAAGGAAACTAGATGACATCAATGAAATCACAAAGGACAAATTGGCTCAAAGAGGGCTCATCAAAACAAATGTAGAGAAATCCTGCTAGGCTAGAGATAGCCAAGATATGATACCATCGATCTATCATTCCAAGTTATAAAGACCCTATGTCTACCAAGTTAAGAAGGCAATCGACCCAATTCAAACTGAGAGTCTCTATCAGTAATCCATGAATTGCATCATCCATGAAGACGATAAAACTAAGGTCAAAAGAAAGAAACTCTAAATCATATGACCCTATTAAGGTGGAGGTCAAAGAGGTGTGACATTTACCCGTCAAGCAAATGGAAAGGAAGCCACCATAAAGGAGAGAAAAGAAAGATTAAGGATGTCAATTAGGCTTGTTTTAATCTACTACTATCAACTCTTAGTTTAGGATGTCGATTAGGCCCTCGTATCTTCTTGTATGGGCCACTGGTCACCATAGTCTTGATGTCGTATTTATCACTAGAATCCATCAAGAATCAAAATTTCTAATTTTTGACTTTTATTCTAAGAAATCAGCTAAAATTTCTTAGTCAAGCCAAAGACCACATACCTGTCTGTCTCCACTTTGAAGGAGAATATGTGTAAGAACAGCTCTGGTAACCAAGAAATCTCCATTCGGTGCAAGTAAATAATGAAGGTCACAACAGGCCTGATAGAATTCGGCTTGACCTGGGCAAGGATGACTATATAATGTTTGAAGATCGATCAAAGCTTTATATAAAGGGGAAACCAAAGCCCTCAGTGGAACTAATCCAAAGAAATGATCAGGATGACTTCGAGATAGTCGGTAGCACGAACTTCTGTATCAACCTGTTCAAGATCGATACTTATGTCGCACTATTAAGTGTTGTCGCCAGTTCAACATCGAATTCATCATGGTTAATCTCTCAGTTGACCTTGCTGAATCAAACATCTAAGGAGAATGTTTGGAAGCATAGAGCTCTAAGAGAAACTGACCAAAAGATGAAATTAATGAAAATGAAAGTAATCATTAAGTTTCCACTTAGCCCTATATATAGGGTACACGAGGAATTTGAAATGTTTCACATCCGTACATCATATTTCAAAATACACATCAAATCGGTGATAAAATCAGGGGTTTACAATGATTGAAATTTTTTGAGATTTGACAAAAAAATATTTTTTTATTTATGATAAAAAGTGTTTTATAGTTGGGTCGCCCGGGCAGCACTTGTCTCGAATCATCAAACTAGCGTACAACGTACACCTGCCAAACTTATAGTTTCCATCTTATGCTTTTGCCCAAACATGGGAGATGAAACTAGTCACCCAAACTTCTGCTAGCTCACTCTGAAGACTCACCACTTCAGCTTAGATGGTCTCCATAGCCATATATATAGGACTCCCAAATTCACCCTCAAATCTGATATGGAAAACTCTCTCTCAAGGCCCGCTACCCAGGCAAATGAGCCCACAGTCTCATCCTTCATTACAACAGTGACTCATGTGAGCCTCACCAGCGATCTGTTTCTTGATCCAGGTCAGTAGGAGGCGGTAGATGGTCAGTTGTATCTTTAACTCGAGGACGGTTAGAAGATCCAATAGACTCCTCTAGAGCATGGGGTTGCCTAGTCCCTCCGTGCAAAGAGTCGCTGATTTCCACGGTTTCATCCATGACATCATAATAGGTCATTATAATAAAACAGAAAAACCACTTGAAGAAGAAAATATAAATTACCGAGCAGTCTCTCCATCTCCAACATGCAAAAACTCTCCCTAACAGGTGGTGGAACATCACCCCGAACAACCTTACCGACTGAAGGTTGGAGTGGGGCACCTTTCAGTAGCAGAGCTTGCACGGCCAGCCCAATAAACTCCCATTCCTGAAGTGATTGTTGAGTCTGCTGCTAGTGGAGCGAATCACAAGCCAAGACAGACACATCAATGATGCATACTCTCGTCGGCTTCCCACCCCTAATAGCAATAGTGAGTTGGAAAACTCCACAATCCCCTCTATCCTCTACGTCTTTGTCACTGCCAACTTCACTAATATGGACCCCCATGTCTTGTCCCTTTGGCCAGCCCATTGGTACCATTTATTGGGGCCTCCTCCCAGCCACTTATTGTAAGGTTGACACACTTCAATGGGTTTCTTTTTTAAAGAAGATTGGGAGCTCTCTGTTTTTCCCTTTTTCTTGCTTCTAGAAGGGTGAATCTTAGAAAGTGGGAAGCTTGAAGGCCCAAAGCAATGCTTCCTCTTTCACAAGCTTTTTAGCACCCTACATCCACGTCCTATGCTACAAATGACTGAAGGGTAGGAATTTTGGAAATGAAGAAGAGAAACATTGGTCGTGCTTTAATTATAGGGAAAAAAACGACATAAAAAATCTAAGGAGTACAATTATTAACAGTACTTATTAGGCAATAAATAAGTAATTTTTGCATTTAATTCTCTTATTATTATGTCAGTTGCCACTTTCAAAGAAACAAGAGAACGATAAACTAAATATGTACATTAGAAATGTGACTGCATAAATCTTGAGGAAATTCAACATAACACATGATGAAAGTAATAAACGATCCGACAATTTAACATCATTTCGGTTGGTCAAATCATGAGTCTATCGAATGAAAATTTGTCCAAACTAAAGAACGCTACCCACCTAGACCGACAACAACTTAATTGATACAAGGGCACTCATAAGATCAACGATCGCTTGACAAAAGTCCCACCTGACTATTTATGATAAACTCTCGACCAATAGATAGATGCCCATTAGGTTACAGTGATGCAACTTTTGCCTAAAGAAGTAAACCTTCCTAAAGACAATGGGTCATCACAATGAGCTCACTTAGAGAAGCCGACAGAAGATCTATCATCAGTCGAATGCCTTTTAGCCGACCGAGCGAAGATCAAACGACTAAGTCAAGCAGTTACAAATATGAAAAGATGTCAGTAGTTGTTATAAATACGGAACGACGCCAACAACGGTTGCCAGGGTCAAAAGATGTCAAAATCGATAACAAATATGTAAAGATGTGATGACTCATAAATTCACTATAACGTTCTCATTAAGTGAGAGACAATCATGTAATTTACTAAACACCCCTTATGATCTATAAACAAACGGGTCATTTTCATAGAAAAGACTGTTGAATCTATTTTCAGAGAATTAGTACTAGTTATTGCTTACTCTCTCAATCCCCTTCCCTTACCTTCAACCATTCGTCTCATCAAACCAATACTTTATTTCATAGGCGTGACCTGATGGATATTTTGGGATTCAATACATGTGAATATATTTCAAAAATAATTCTCGTCTAGTTTTGCATGGGAAAGGTCATCCAAACTAGAAAAAAGTTTTTTGAAATATATTCACATGTAAATCTCCAATTCATAATATATATATATATATATAT